TTCCCTTCTGTTCCCCTGATGCTTTAAATGATTAGAAGTCCTGAATTTCTTTCCAGCAACCATTTATACCTAGATGCTGCAAAAATTGTTTCTGTTTCTTGCCAAACATAACAAAATCCTAGATAAACTGCTTTAGCAATCAAAATAACGGCTTATAAATGGTGTTTAAATATGCATTCATTTTAACTACTGAACAAATACTGGATAACTCCAAACAGCATGAAAGGTTATAATTGCAGCATGATTTAAATTTCAAAGCCTAGAGATGTCAGCACTTCCAACGTGTTGTTTGACAGTGTTATTTATGTTATTTATATTAGCTAACTGAAAACAGAAACTGTGTCTCAACACAATAAATATAATAGAAAAATATTTTATTTGTACTGTTGTATAAAATATTATACAATCATATAGAATATATAGATTACATTTTAATATCAATTGTATACATATGTCATGAAATCATTTTCCCTTATCAAAGGTGTAGTTTGTAAACTTCAAATAGCTCTGTATCTGTTCCTGTTGCTCTAGATGACTTTAATTAAAACAGATTTATGAAGAGACCATTTCTGATTCGTAAAAGTTACGTTATAAATTATTAAGTCAATACACCGAAACAAGAAACCTGTGAGAAATAAAAAATTCCTTTTATAGTGTTCATACTTTTTCCTCCAAACTACTTGAAAAAGTTTATATCTTCAAAACCATGCCAAGCCATTACATACAATGTAAATACAAACGTAGTTGGTACATAATAGGCTTTATAAAATGAAAATCTTCTTACCAAGATAGAAAACAGGTTATACGGCGTGGTCAATACAAAATGATAGTTAAAGCAAAACACTAAACATTATTCAACATATTCAAGTGCCTTTTTTGTTTTATTCTTCCCTCCTTTATATCTGGGCTAAGTATTTCCCAGAATCCCTGCTTTTCATTTCTAGTACAAAAGCCACTGATAATCATTCCATTAATAGTCCACTTTTCACACAAATGGTCTATCACAAATAGTGAAAAAAATCTTGTTAGTATTCCAAAGTGTGGTGCTCTGAAAGTTACGAAAGATGCACAATTCCAATGGAAAAATATCTTTTTTATAATCTTATTTTTAGTAAACAAGAAGTCTAACATTCCTCATAAGATAACTGCAACACTCAATTATATACCATGTACTTCATCTATCCAAAATATCTTAGCATAATGCAGTAATCTAGTATTGTTTTAATATATATATGTGGCAATTTATAACACAAGAAATACTTCGACATTTTACAAAGTGCATGCGTCTAAATAAGCTTTGGTAGTCAGAAAAGCAAATGTTATAGCATCAGGCAAAATAAAGTGCAAAGTTTAATACAGAAATAAAAATTAGCACATAGTTGATCTATTTACTGAATTTTTAAGTACTGTGAGCCAGGTCCTGTGAACCGTAGTGAAAAGGACGGCAGCCAGTACACACGTTTTATCCCTTCCCAGTAAACTGCAGCTATTTCATTTTGCCGAAAACCTTCTCTTATTTCTAAAAAAAAAACCCCACCCAATAGTCAGCTCCATTTAGCAGTCATGTTCCATCCTTCTTTTTTTTGCACAGGCAGCATCACTTTGCTCTGCTCTCAGAATTTTAGACCAGATGCTGGCTCTGGTTCTTTGTGTGCACCTTTATTTGAAGCTACTGGAATTGAATGGCAATTCTGTCTTGAAAGATGGAATATATTCATGAGTTTTTCCTTTATTTGTTTTAAACTCATGTTTCTTTGAATCTAGTGAGTCAGCACATTAAGAACCAACATTAATAGTTAATTATAGTGCATCTTAATTCTGGAAAGAAATGTGTGGTACATTATCAAGTACTAAGATGTACTAAAAACCTGGAGAGCATTTCCTCACACTTTTTAAAACTAAGAGCAGCTCAAACTGAGAATCTGCAGTACTTCGATGTCCTTTTAATTTCTAACATTCTCACAGTGCATTTCAAAGCTTTTTTGAAAGGAAAAAAAATATATACTATAGCCCACTCACCCATGCTTAATATTCTTGCATATCGCTGTCCTCTCTCATCCCAGCTAGTATAATTGATAAAGTGCATCAAAAATCTCAGTGTGTCAAATAATTGTGCAGCAGACCAAGACCTGTAAAATTACTTCCTCTTTTTCATTACTTGTTTGTTTGTTTTTTGCTAGAGAACAATACCACTGCATTGCATTTGCTTCAAATAGTTTTGGAAATATGCTTACTGATGAGAACCTCCAAGAGCCTGATTTTGGCTTTTGTGTGCTTGTATTCAGAGTATTCCTCAGCCATTGGCACCCGATCTTCTTTTTGAGGATTCCTATGAAAAGCAAATAAAAGTGCCATCACTTTTATGAGTAAGAGGAGAAACAATCTTCAAAATTATTTCTGCAACAACTAATAAGGATTGGGTTGGGTTATTTTTTTTCCTAACTAACTGTAAGTTACTAACGCTGATTTCACAGGAAAAAACAGCAGCTCTAATAGACAGAAATGAAATAATAGTTTTTAGAACATTGAATTTTCATATATCAGGTAATTTTCTTTCTTCTGTTACTTCATTCTAAAATATCCAGAGAAGTTATTACACAGTGCTTTGAAAACTGTTACCAGAATACTACATGCCCATATCCTCCATGGTTTTCATCAAACAAGTTTGCTAAATGAAGGGAGGACGATAAATAGTGAAACGTAGCCAGCATTTATCTATGGGTGAAAGAAACAGTGGCTGTTTTTAAATCTGACCTTTTAAAAATGGTCAAACTGCCAAGCATAATCCCTGCAGACTTCCATCCTCAGAAAGACTCTTTAGCAGCCTCCCTTCAGCTCAGGAAAGATCCTGTGCTGAGATGGGGTTTGTACCCATTGCAGGCACATCCTGGAAGATCCCCAAATCCAGACTGTCCTCAGGGATGCCCACATCCTGGAGGAACTAAGCAGGGAGATGGACATCTTCACAGAGACCAGACACCTCCATGGTATCTTCCAGTTCCTGGCTCCAGCTTCTTTGTCCTGCTCACCTAAGAGTACCCACCCTAGCAGAAACACACGTCTGCATCAGAGCCTGAAGAGGAGGAGGAGAGGGCTTTTGTTGAGGTGGTTACTTACCTTCCCGTCTGTTTGTAGAATTGTTCCTCAAACTCTGTCAGAGCTTTGCGAAGCCTTTTCTTGTCTGCTCTTGTTTCTCTGAGATGTTCAAGCAGAACAGGCCTGGAAAAGAGAGACAAGAACATGAAACCCCCATGTGCTTGAAAGTACTGTAAAAGCAGTGGCTTTGGGTAGTAAGCAGACTGCTGCTATGGCCCATGGCAGGCACTGAGCTCAGCGCCAAGACATTCCACCACATCCCTGCAACTGTGGATTTAACTGGCTGTACCATCACGCACAATAAACAGTTGTGCTCCTTTGCTTTTACTAGTATTCTCACCCTTCTCATAAACTGAAGGCAGAGACTCTGTGGACAACATGGGAAGAAAAGCTTTCAGGATTAAGTTTTGCTAGTGGTCTTAGTTCTGTGTGGAATTAATGGAGCTGACAGGGCTCAGCATCTCACAGGAAATGCTTTGCATCTCTGTAACTGAATTAATAAAGTCACCATCCAAGCCCTAATCCTAAAAGCAGCTGTTACCAAACATTACTGTGATTCAGTGGAAATGCTAGTGGTACCCAGAATCAACCTTGCTGGGGGCCCTGTTTTAGCTAGTATTTGGAGAATAAGGTTTTTAAGCAGAGAAAGAACTGCATTTGACATATGCAGCTGGTAATTTTTTTTTTTGTCCATAATAAGAAAATGCACAGAAATATCTTCACAGCATTTGTGAGCAAACTATTGTGTGTATAGTTAGAAAACAAAGACATTTTTATTTACTCTGAATTTTGGTAGAGCCTAGTCAACTTAATCTGTGCATCTAAGAGCTCCCAATCAAAACACAAGAAAAAGATACCATCCCATAAGCTATGAGAATACATCTTTTCCTGGAAGGCATTATTCTTGAACAAGTTTCAAGGCTGAGTGATAACAGTCCATTTGCATCTTGAGATTCGTTGTCTCATGCAACCCTTAACTACAAATCAGAAGGAGGGCTTTGGTTTTATAATGGAGGATAGGAGGGTGACGTTTTCTGGGCATCTAGACACTAATAACTATTCTTTTGCAAGGACAAAACTGATTTTGCACACCTTCAGTGGCCTCCCATGTGACTGTATTGTGTGATCCTTCACTCAGCTCACCTGTTGCTGCTGTATGCCTCATGTCTCTGGCATTTTTACATCACTTACACAGTCAGTCCTAATATACACACACAGAAACAGCCTATTCTGCTTGGCCAAACTGTGCTTTGTTTTATGACTGCTTTTAAGTGCACAAGTAGTTAGATATCTAAAAATTCTGCAGCAATTACAGGTAGGTCAGCATATCTTTACTATGCCATTATGTAGTATCTACCACTCTGCAGTTATTTCTCCTATCTGCTTACATGCCTGCACCTTTCTCTTCATGGACTTTTCCCAAAGTCATTTGAATAAATAGCTCAAATCACAGGTATGCTGCCCAAACAAAAAATATCCTCTGCCTCTTTTCTCCTGTAAGAAAACATTCAACCACTTCTTTGGTATAGAATATTCCCATGCAATAAGTATGGATCATATTTCATTTTCAAAGTCTACATAAAATATTTTAAAACATTCAGGAAAAAAAATAACAGAACTTACATTGTTGCCTCATGTAAATTGGACATAGACAAGGCTGTTTGTCTGAAAACTTTCTTTTCATCCAGAGGTGAAACATATGCAGGCTCACTCTCCTCCTGAGAGTAGCACAGGTGCTCATCGACAGGGAGGCAAGATATTGGACCGGATGATAACTCGTGGCTGCTTTGAAAATGGTCTTCATCTGAGTCTTCTTCCTCCTGCTTGTAAAATGTAAAGGATTATTATATTGTTTACATTACAATACAGATTA